GTAACGGTTGCCGTTAGGGTTGCAATTAACTATAATTTTCCCAGCAGGGTTGCATACCATACCCGTGGCCCGATCAACTATCAGGTGTCTGGATTCGGCCTAATGCGGTATGAAGGCCTTCCTCCGAGGCGTGCCACGAGCGTGTACAGCGGTTTTTATGGACTTCCGCCGATCCAGCCCGGCCCGTTAAACGCGTACCGTGAGCCAACCTGAGCACCTTTGATCCAACACATTTTCAGCTCAGCCCGTCGTGGGAATCATCGCTTTGACTCGCTTTCCACACCGCGACATCCCATGGATCTGAGAACAGAATTTGTTTGAGCCCTCTTGAGCGGCCTTAACTAGGATCCATCCAACTAGTGTGCCGGTCACAGTTGATGCCGCTCACGGAGACGGGTGTTTTCGTCCACTTTGAATTCGGATCAGAAGGCGAGAGGTCAAAAGCACTAAAATACGCATTAAAATTCATGGCAGCTGTCTGCTGAAGGTTTGGCGACGCCCTTTGTCATTATAGGTAGTTCGCTCGTGGGCCCCAGTATTTTTCAGTCGTTTTGTTACATTCGAATCTTCCTCAAGTTGTTCCACCCGACTTGTTTTCTAGTTCCCTCTCATATACCGCATTGACCTGAACGATCGCTGTCTTGTAAGATGAAATCATTCAGTATACATTCATAGCAAAACTACTAACCTCACATGGAGTTAGTGCTCGTGGTAGGTTTCCGCGCATATCTGTGCGTTATGTTTATGACCGCTACGCCGTTTCCGGCACTCCTGAATGACGTCAGTCGCACACGTCTAGTCAGACGTCAAATCGTTCATTTGGCTTGTTCCAAGGAGGTGCACCGACCCGCGAGTGAACGTTCGTATGGGTTCATGTGCGTGTTTGTGCGTGTGTATCTCTCAGGCGGGCGGCACTGCAGTTGAAAAGGTCGAGACTGTGGCCTACTTGGCCCGTGGCATGCATTTGTCGAACCACGCACGGTCAGTGTCAGGCCAAAATTACTGCCGTGCTTGTCAAATTGACCACCGCGCCCGCTTTCACTCTCACTGGCCTCGACCCGGAAAAGCTCGTGCGAGAAAGAGGGAGATCCGAATCGCATCCAGCACGTAGCTTCCCCGCAGCAAACAGTCAAACGCGCGTTTAAACTATAACGATGGAGCTAGCAATCGCGCCTTGGAGGGTTGCCGACCGACGGGATAACTTGGTCCTAGTCAGAAACGAGGGTCAGACTGTAATGACCCCGTCCTGATTTGGTCACGCTTACGTCAGACCCGAGATACCCTCCCGCATAAAACCTGTTGCATGTGGAATTAGGGGCCTGGTCGTGCGTGAGACATGTAGAGGGGCTGTTGAGCTCTGTCAGTCGTTGCATCGAGCCCCACCTCTAGTCGTCTTACCACCACATTGTCAGTGAAACCCGGTGAGTGTGAGAACGGAGGGTGGGATAGATACGACGCAAGTCTGCCTCACCATAGACGAATTCACCGCCCGTGAGACATCGGTGGACGTCATCGATTACGTCAACCGAATATCGACCATGTGCATGCGGGTGTGTGTTTGCGTGCGTGCGTGCGTGCGTGCGCGCGTGTCAGCAAACCACGGCCCTCGCTGCCTGGTGTGCGCTGACGGTTCCCCGACACCTGGTTCCCTGCCGGTAGGTGCACTTGCGCTCCCGCTAGGTGCACAGGTGATGGGCCTGCTTGGCTAGTCATTCTCGTCGCTCTGGTCCCTGTTGTTGTTGTTGTTGTTGTTGTTGTTGTTGTTGTTGTTGTTGTTGTTGTTGTTGTTGTTGTTGTTGTTGTTGTTGTTGTTGTTGTTGTTGTTGTTGTTGGCGAAAACTCCTGGTCATTTGCTATGTGAATCAGGGAGTGTGGTGGCACGCCTACGTGTGGCTCCGGCCGCGTCAGCCGCCTGCGTCCTCACCCATTTCCGGTCTTCTTGGCTCTGTCTTGACGCCGAGTCCAGGTGGGGAGTGAGGAAGAGAGGGTGTGGTAGATGTTGCGCAATTCCACCACCACTGTGAATTAACTCACGCACAAGTCGCCCTCCCTGCTCCGCCTTGATGTGGAGCACACGGTATACATCGTCGAAACCGAAGGTTGAACTGTCGTGTGTGTGTGTGTGCGGGAGTTCGATGTAGATTCAGCTGTAGTCGAAATCTATAAATAGAATGGCCCTCAAATCATGCACATGATTACCTTCCTGATACCAGAAAATTTGCTAGCGTTGACAAATTCCACGAGATTTCCGGCATACAATCACTGTTCTCCAAAAATTGCAACAGGGACAGTCATCGGGAAGTCTCTCTTCTCAGTATTTATTGCGGAATATCTGTTCGCGTTCCTCCCAACCGTCTAAATATACGTCTGGAGCAGAAGACATCTTCCTGAATGGCAGTGTGGATCCCCAACTCTAAGTGGAGTCATTAGCATAACCGTCGCAGCCTTATGGCCCCCGGGGAAAAATGTTAGGAAATCAGGATTAGTCTCTACACTGTCTCCCACAGACGAAGAGGAGATTCCGGTGTCTCAGACGTTTCACGAGGATAACCAGGCAGCTCCACGACGACATAAACATCTGGTGGAGCGGGTGCGCCCCTAAGATGGATCACGCGGTAAATGTGCTGGAGTAATACGAGGGCTAGACCGGAGCCCAACAGGCTTTATCGTGGATACACACTCACAACAAGTTCCGACACTGGGATGCGATGGCATGTCCAGTTGCACGCTTGCCCAGCACCAGCTGGAACCGTGCTGATCAAGTGTTTGTTATGGACAAGGATGTATGGTGGTACGATTAGGTGGGATTCCGACCGCGCCAGTCACCTGCGCCTTCTCCCGCCTCCGGTCTTCACGACTCTGCCTTGACACCGGGTCCAGGCGTGGAGGAGGAGAAAGTTCGGTTGATGTTGCACAAGTCACCGCCCCTACTCTCATTTTGCTGTAGAGCACAAGGTGGACATCGTCGAAATCGGCGGTCTAACTACCGGATGAAACAGGACTGCGTCCTTGACCAAGCCGTCTTTACCGCAATGCCGGTGGGCGTATCCTGGAAAGATTGACCAGGCATGGGCATATCCTGCCAAACCGGGTAAGGATCGGGTGATGGACCCCAAGCATCTTTGGCGTACAAAGAATACTTACCTAACTTACTTAAGGGGGTTTTAGTCCGACACGATTATTTCGGTCTGGTGTTTTT